TATTTGCATACAGAACTACAACCTAAGCCATTCTAGGCCTACGATCTAATGCCACCCAGGCAGAGACAGGTCTGTGGTCCGAATAGCCTAACCAGTGGAACGTGGAACAATCTAGTAAATCTATGTCGACGCTTCTGACTATCCAGGTAGCTAGCAACCCGGGTAAACGGCCACTTAAGAGCCCACGTCCACACCTTCCCCTCTAGGTGATCGACCCGGTATCTATCGACGAGACCAAAACCACCGATCAGATTAACCAAGCTACGATTGCCCGACCTCCCGCTAGCTCCCCGTCCCCTGTCTAAATTGGGGTCCAGGACGGCATTCCAGCCCATAAGACTAAACGCGTTGAATCCACCAACTTTCTTTTGGGCGTCGACTACGGACAACGGTGCCTACACTGCAGTTTAACTTTCAGCCGCAGCTGATTGACAAGAATTTAATTCGCCTACGCGACGCAAGAATGGCCGCAAGAAATATTTTTGACAGGCATCTTGGAGGATGCAACGTATCAAGTCTTACACCTGACGATATATTCTTTCAGAAGTTGAATCATGAGCACCATTGTTCAAAACCATCGACAGTATTGAACCAGATCGCAGCTCGCTGCTTTTTGTTGTAGATGGCGTACACTCCAAGCAAAACAGAAAATGCGCCTGTCCCTTGACGCATCCATTTTTCAGAGTGGCCTCAGCTGGCCGACAGACCCTGCTTGCTTCCAGCATTCAAACAACTTGACTACTGATCCACTAAATATCCCAACGGCTCTAGTCAGGTCCTCTAAAACGACGTTCCGCTTCCAATGAATTCTCAGACACAACAAGTCATTCGTAATCTTGATTTATTGTACATAAAAATACAATTGTGGAACAAGGCCTAAAGGGGGAATGGGTTGAGTCTAGTCGTCACTTACTATCTTATACCTAGCTAATCTGATTCACGACCCATTCACTCGTTACAATTTGCACATCCAACACAAGAACCAATCCATCGCCACTTAATCCTCCATATACCATAATACCGCAATCCTCTCAGGGAACCTATAAAAAACACCCCATGACATAAAAATTTCATGATCATAAAATCCTATACAATGAGCGGGGAGGGGATGAACCCCGAAACAAACTAAAAATAACAAAAACAAAATAAAGTTAACTGATATTAGTTGGATCCGTCAAACTCTCAAAATATAGGTCGCTGTATTTTACCTTTAGACAAAATCAAGAGTCTCTCTCGCTAAAGGAGAGGGAAAGGGTAAAATAAATACGGCCATGAGAAGCGAGGAAAGTTGATCCACTCAAGATGAAAGAAGGGACCAAAAAAAAACTAGGAAGGTTGGGAATCTCAAGTTGGATCATAACCAACGATGCAGCCCGGAACCGGCCAAGAACAACACTTACTTACATTAACTAGGTACACAAAAGTGGTCTAGCCTAGCCAGGGGAGGGCTCCACAGGATTTAGGTGGACCTAAAAAAGAAAATCAAGGCTAGCCCAGTTCATACGAACCAAGCTCGCCAGAATCATCCACGTTTCGCTGAAGTCTGTCAAAACCAACTGTTTTCTATCAATTCTAATCTTCATCTTGAGCTGATGATAAAAAATCGGATCAGATCCTAATGATAAAGACGGTTGCCTCGCAAGACTTCCTCCTATCGCTTCGTCCAAATCACCATTTGGGCCGTGACTAACAGCGATAGAAACACCATCCGTTTCACCCCAGAATACAGGGGCGACACATTGTCACACGCGCATGCACGATCAATGAGCACGAGCTATTCGGGAGCGATCATAGCCGTCAACTGGACGACACCGTCCCATAGGGGGCGGACCCGAGGACAATGCTAGAAGACGTCTGAAGCCGTTTCTTCTAAGCCAAAATCACATCGTTCAAAATGTGGCAAATCCGCCAAGCCCCATATGAATGCCTTGTCATTGAGTCTATTCCGAACCAGTCGCCAGGTAAGCAAAAAAAGGGTTGCAGAGGTAATAGGCCGAGAAAGGTCATTGGACACAGGAATGACCTTCAAGAAAACTCGACGGCGCTAAACCAGCGAGATGGGAGGACTGACAGTAAGGAAAGAAAAGGCGTCTCTTACAATCCCTGCCAGAATAGAGTCCCCTGTCAATGCACGGCGTAAGAAAACCAGCCTCAAAGAGAGCTTGTGACTCACCAAGTGCGGTATTCCCAGCCTCCCATGACGCAGACGTTGTGCACAGACTTCTCTGTCGACGTGGTGCTTACGCCCCTACCTACAAAACGAAGGATAGCAAGTGCTCTATCGCCTTCTTACGCCGCTTACAGAGAGGAAGTACGGGCAAGCGGTAAAGGACAAGAGGAAAGACATAAGTGGCACACGCCTCAGTCCTGCCTTTCAAGGACAATCTCCTTCGATGCCAAGTAGCGACCGCCACGCCGACCTTCGCCTGTACCAATTTTTCTCCAGCTGGAGGTCGGGTTCTAACCAATCTCCGAGAATGCGGACAGGACCTTTCGTCCACCCAAAGGGCCCCGGAAGATCAACCCCCTTCCAAGCACCTAACCACAAGCCGGAAGACATGTCGCGATTAATCTTGGCCCTTGTCACCTTTTCGTACCGTTCAAGCGCCTTCAGTACAACCTTCATGTCGCTGCGGGCGGGCGGACACAAAAGTGGATACGTCATCGGCGTACGCGGAAACCCTGGCTCGAGCCCCACCAAGAACAGCGATACCAATTAGGGAAGGACTGCACACCCTGTCCCTCAGCGGCGAAGGAGGGGCTCTAACGCCAAAGTGTAAAGTGGGGCGACAGTGGACAACCCTGACGAATCGACCGAGTTAGCGCGTAAGCGCCCGACAGCTTCCCGTTTATCTGTACCACAGCACTGGGGGAACGATACAGTAGGCTAATCCAGCAGCAGAAGTTGAGTTCGAATCCAGCGGCCAGAAGGACAGCAGCCAGGGAGCGATGGCCTTGGGCTGATCCAAATTGGTCAACACGGTCTCATCGTCGTCTTTTACGTCCTCTAGGATCGTGCGGATCAGATGCAGGTTGCTCTGAATTGTTCGGACCTTCAGAGCTCAAGTCCTAACAGAATATCGACAACTGACTGCAAACGCTCCGTCAGGATCTTAGCCAAAATCTTTCTGTGTTTATGGGCCTATAGTCATCTAAATCCCACCTAACATCCTTGCCCGTTTTCAACAGCGTGATCACACCTCTGGAGATCCTGTTGGGGATGGACCCCTGGCGGAACCAGTTGTTGAACATGACAGTCAAAATCGGGACAAAGATGTGCGACAGCCTCAAGTACAATTCATAAGGGAAACCCTACAGGCTAGGCGACTTGCCTCTGCCGACCTTCTTCAGTCCACGTATACCTCGCTCTCTGTGATCTCTCCCTCGTAGCTAGCCGCTTCAGTCGATAAAAGCCGAGGAAAGTCAACCAAATAGCTGCGAAACCTTTCGTCACAAAGACCAGGCTCCTTGGCAAAGCGGCTCTCGAATTACCGCTGAAACCCCTCACACACATCGTCAGTCGACCTCAAAGTACGCTCCTCTGGGGTCACGACCTCTCGAATGTAGCGATCAGAACCTTGACGAATCTCTTCCTTGCGCAATTCTTCGCCCATGCTCACAGCTTCGCAAGACATCTCACTGGGTGCTCCACACTTTCGACCTTGTGCAACATCTAAGCTACGTTTAGAAAATTACCATACTGAAGACAAAACGAAACAGCGCGTAACCTACCAAACGAGCCTGTGTGAATCGATGGCAGAGAGAAAGAGGGAGCTATGGTAAATAGCCAGATATTGCTTAGAGCTAGAAGAGACACGTATTTGTGGAGAGCCATGATCGCATGAAAGGATACGGCATATAAAATTAGATGGTACTTCAGTTATTCGTAGCTGCCGCTGACTTACGCTATTGCACATTATTGTTATCGATCAAACAAAAAAACAGTTTATCACTTGCATCTCCTATATTAATACAATCAATGTCAACATTAATTTTTCGACAATAAATTAATAATGAACATTTTGTGGGAGAATTTTGATTTTTTATTCTTTTAAATGGAAAAAAAGGATTATTTGCTCATTGGGGTATTATTTCATTGTTACGGTAAGGTCGAGGACGAAGGACCAGACTGGATGCGACCAACCCCCGAAGGCCCCAACGGCGGAATAATCAGATCTACACGATCTCAACAACCAACGGAGGAAGCGCCAGTCGGGCTGTTGTAACCAAGGTGGATCTTAACAGACCAAGCATGCGACAGCCTGATGCAACCAGGTTTGCCAGATCCCGCCTGTCTCAATTCTCTTGGAGCCACGAGGGAGGCGCTTCTGACCATCGCACAGAGTTGTCCACCAAAATCAAATTCACGCGAATAGGCTCGTCAAACTCTCTTTGACTACTCACAGTCATCTCCGCCACCGCCACCAGAGGGGAGAAAGAGAATAAAGAGAGAGGGTGGCGATCCCGATGCTCGGATGCGAGCGGGTGCCGACTACGACTACTACTACTCTTACTACAACTACTACTACTACTATGACGTCACCTCCTACCATTAAGCAATTAGGAGACAGAAAGACTCGGGTCGTTTCTCAAGAGTCATATCCTAAGAACAGGATTTACGGTTCAAGTAGCCTGAAGTTCTTGTTACAACGAGATAACAAAAAAAAAAAAAATGCAAATAGTATAAAAAAAAACTCATGAAGAGCTTATATAGGCGACAAGGAAAATAATAGCGACAACAGTTACATTATTTTTTTCATCGTCTGAAAGTTGCTAAAACTATTGAAATTAGAGCGTAAGCGGCTTCTAACAAATTAATCGCAAGTCTAAAAAGGCATTTGAGATATGCAGCTGACATATTTATAGCGATTATTTAAAAAGCGTTAAGAGAAATACTTTCCAAAATATTGGACAAAATAATTTGCTGAAAACGCCCAGCTAGTAGGAGTCTAGATAACTAACCTAACTGTCAGTATTAAAATGGCTTAAAAAAACTAAACATCGAAAAAAAACAAAAAAACAAAAAAAAAATGAAAAAATGATAGAGAGAAACAAAGCGAAAAAATTGGGAAGAAGAGATACTGCTAAGATAATACGGGGTGGCGGAAAGTGGGTGGGAGAACACATGGGAACTAGAAGAGAAACCGAAGAAAGAGAGAAAGTCACAAAAGAAATATTACGAACAAATGTAAAAACGCCCAGAAAAGTAAACAAAGAAAACGAGAATTGGAAGGAGGAGAAAAAGGAACAAGCTCGAAAGTGAGAGTAAGCGAGAGGAAGAGAGTAAAGTATAAAGAGTAATGAAATACAGAAAAAAAAAACGAAAAGAAAGAAAACGAACAAACTATAAGAAAGAAAAGAAGAGTAATGACGTAAAATGTTTTATACTGAAAAGTGGAGAAAAGACACGGTGACTGTGGCATAGGACAGGTCGATTTTGGGACCCTGGTATTGCACATACAGACACAAAATACTTTTCCCCAAATCCTTACTGTTTTTTTTTTTTTAGGAAACGTGTTCAAAGAAGTTTAGGTTCAAACAAAATCGTAGTGTTGAAATTTCGTTCCAGTGATTAGCACAGACTTATAACAATTTATAATTTACTGGAGCTTTACAAAAGCTTATGGCAAAAGCATATTATTACTAAAGCATTGTATGATCAAATAGGACCATTGTTTACTTCAAAGGAAAATCATACTGAACCATTTAGCTATATTATGACATAATATGTTATACAGTGAAGTAGTTTTAGTGCAATTTACAATAAATAATGCAGAAACATTTTAACTTATAATTTCTGTCCAGCAGTATTATGGCGTTATATACACTTTTATCTATTTTTATTTAATTATGATCTAACAAATCTTATTCATTGAGTAGCCTTTTTTGTAATCTTTTACTTTTTTACACAGGTTTTACTTATTGAATACGGTAAAAAAATTGTATATTTTGCTTGTAGGGATTCATAATTAAAATTCTGGTTCAAATAGTTTTCAGTTGAATGTATCTAATGCAAGAGACATCAACTTTATTTGGATTTATTCTTGAAATAGTAAAATTTTGAAGTCAATTTGGAAGCAAAAACCTGTGGAAATTAGGCATTTCTGTACATTTTTCCAGATGATCCTTAAAACTTCTCAAAGATTTGTAAAAACTATAAATTTAGTTTTTGGTGTCAGTACTTATCATATCAAACCCCAGCTTTCACATTGTGTGCAATGTTAATCAACCTGCTCTACTCTGAAATAGAAACGAATCGAAGAGAATACAGAAAATATTTAGCATTAAGAAAATTGTCATATTCCTGTTCTTGACTTCTGACTGAATTTCTGGGATGAGTAGTTATCGTTATTTATACTATTTATATTCAGATTATCGTCCTCATCGAAGACGCTGACAATAGTCAGTATATAAATAGTGTAAATCCTGTACTTGACTTGGCAATTTTAGTAACGCATAAATTCTGGTCATAAGTTAAAATTGAAAAATATTTAAAATGAAACGGAAAACATCGTACCCATCCTTTACAGTCTCGTATTGTTTTTGTATTTCTCAGCAACATATGCGATTAGGCACTCATACACACACACATATATATTGTGTGTATTTAGGCAGCATTTCTTCATTGATGCATGTTTCATTAAATAATAATCTTTTAATGATAATGTTATTAAGCTTATCAGACGATATGAAAAGAATTTACATAAAATACATAGACAAAACTTGTCTATATTATTTAAGGAAACATGCATCAATATATATATATATATATATATATATATATATATATATATATATATATATATATATATTGAAAACGACAGACATTTTATGTCATTTCATTTTAATGATAGTCTTTTCTAAATTATGATTAAATTCTTGATGGAATTTTCTCCTTGTCTGAGAAATATTATTCGTAATTTATATATATATATATATATATATATATATACTAAGACATTTTTATGTTTATACGTTTTTTTATAGATACAAATATTTAAGTAAATGCTCTGTTTATAATAAACAGTATTAACGACATTTACCGACCTGAATGTCCGAGAAATTTTCATTGAAAATATGCGTCCTCCAACAGGAATCGACCCCGTATCCCATATAGTCTGACGTGCTTTTATCCGATTGAGCCACAGAGAAGCGTTTCGGTTAAAACAGTAAAATCGACCTTGCTAACCGAAACGCTCCTCTGTGGCTCAATCGGTAAAAGCACGTTAATACTGTTTATTATAAACAGAGCATTTGCTTAACTATTTGTATCTATAAAAAAGAACGTATAAGCATAAAAAATGTCTTAAAAAATAATTGTCGGACTTTTGTCTATTTATATATATATATATATATATATATATATATATATATATATATATATAAACGATGCAATCAATTTACAAATACATGAATTATTCACACAAAAACTAATGCAAAGGTTAATGATTTAAATGGCGAGACATCCATCATCGCAAACAATTCAAATAATATACAAAAACCTCCGTATCCGTTATGAATGAAATGATCCTTGTTTATATAAATTTCTGCCGTATTAGTTCTTATTTTACTACAAGCTTTCGTCTGTTCCTACAGACATCTTCAGGTATAGAATAGATGTTGTTCTTGTTTTTCTCTTAGTAATAAGAGGACAACGAAAATATATGTATTGTTGTATCCGAAAATGCTATTGAAAATGAGTTATTGTTTTTGAACGCGCAAAAGCAACGCTGAGTTTGATTTTAAATTTTTAAAGGTTGTGCGTTCATATAAAATATAGTGATGAACAAATTTTTTACTGGTAAATTTTTCTGTCAAACGGTTTTTGTATATTATTTGAATTGTTTGCGATGATGGATGTCTCGCCATTTAAATCATTAACCTTTGCATTAGTTTTTGTGTGAATAATTCATGTATTTTATATATATATATATATATATATATATATATATATATATATATATATATATATATTGTTATTATTAATAATAATAATAATAATAATAATAATAATAAAAGTAAAAGCATATATAGCCATTGAGAATAGAATGTCGCATGAGCTTAACGAATGGACATCCTTTTTCGTCCAGTGGACATACATATCACACACACACACACGTACACACACATATATATGGTGATTTACTAAGCGTAGCTTAGTTCTGGTATGGTCAACTAGTATTATACAGCCCAACATGTCACATAACAAGCTGAATTCGATGTAATGTAAACAAAAAAATATGTGAATAGCCGCTTGGAAAATTGCTAATAGAAAATTGATGTAACTTTAATAATTGAATTCTTAGAAGGTAAATTAACAACGTACAATTACGTAGAATTTATTAGGCATTATTTCAATTCCCTAGACATGTTTTCAACACTAAAATGCATATTTACACCTTTTTTTTTTTTTTTTTTTTTTTTACTAATCCGCGAATTGTAAACCGCTATGAGTTACCACGCTTTTATGATTTTCAATTGCGTATACGGCCCGTTTTGCAAATGAACGCTATTAGGTAAATTTTCTACCTCATAGTCCATTACATTAAAGATTAAATTATAAATTTTATTGTGATATTTTATTTAACAAAAATGGTTAACAAATGTGTTGCATTTGGCTATTCTACTGGATATGTTACTAACAGAGAAAAAGTATCGACATTTTCTTTTCCTCTTGGAAAATCCGACCTCGTAGAAAAATAGATAAAATTCGTTAATCGTATTGATTTGTTTCTTACGAAAAATTAATTTCTCTGTATAAAAAATTTTGAAGAGAAATTTATTTTGAAAGGAAAACGAAACAAACTGAATTGGGATTTACATCCAATACTTACAATACATTCAGAAAAAAAAAAAAGAAAACTGTCTCTTTTGCGGACTACAAGTGAATTCAGAAATCTCCCATAACAACGACTGGTCCAAACTGATGAATTACATGATTTTATTTCAGTTGATAAATTGGGAGAAGCAAAGTGTTGTCCTAACGATTTTGAATTTTAAAAAAAGGAAGATTATATTTTAATTTATAGAATAGTCTTTGACTCTGAAACACATTTTCCATCTATAAAAGAAAATATTCGCATTGACCAAAATCTTCACGTCCAGTTCCACAGTGGTTTAGACATGGACATAATGCTGAACTCACAAGATTTAGCATATTAGAAAATTTTCCAAACTACATACAAAAGGTGGTGGATAACAACCATACTCAATTCTAAAAGAATTACAAAAGAGATAACATTACCAATCAAGAGGTCGTCCTTCATTTTCTGCAAAACTAATACGTTACGCTTTACTACTGCGCTATACGTCTCAACAATTCTACAAATTACTTCTGGCGAAATTTCCATTACCATCTTTTTCTTTATTAGAGAAAATTCAAAAGGTGGTGTGGAATCGCTCCTGGAAAAAATGATCTTTCTCAGGACTGTCTTAATAGTAGATGAAATGTACCTTAAAATGATGATGAAAGGAATAATGGAATTTATGATCAATGGTCTAAAAAAGACAGTACCATCAGTCGTTAAAACCTGCCCTGAAGTAACAGTTAATGGTAAATGACTTTCTCAGGAGATTCTGAAATACACTATTTACATTATTCGGATTATTGTCCTCATGGATTTTTTTTTTATTAGGGCTGTTGTTGCAGACAATCAATCAGCTAATGTGAATGCATTTAAACATTTTACTTACTAAGTTTGGTGGGGGACAAAATATACAACATAACTATTCCCAATTATTCCCCAAAATATTTGTTTTTTGACTCTGTACATTAATTAAAAAATATTCGGAATAGTTTACTGAACAGAAAGAAGTTTGTATTTCCTGCTTTTACATTTGAAATATCAAATACTCATTTTTTTTTCTTCTGAGAATGGATATATAGCCTGGTCTGACATACACAAAATATATGACAAGGACAACATTCTAGATGCTAAATTACGTATGGGCCTCAAAGCTAACATTCAAAGCATCGCATCCTAGTGACAATAAACAAAATGTTAATATAGCTGTTGCCATTTTTCATGAGACAGCCATTACAGCTTGTAAGAGCTACGTTCCTGATCAAACTTCCTTAAATTAATGTTATGCTGGTGGACAATAGCAAATTCAAGAAAAAAACACCTAATTTTTTCAACAATGCAGTAAATTTAAATGATGGGAAAATTGATTTCTACACAAAAATATCTGATTGGGTTGAGTGTTGGGCACACATTTCAGATCTTTGTCTAACAAAGCAAACTTCCAAAGCTTTTGTTGTAATTTTGGGAGCACAGACTATACTTATGCAAGAACTTTTAGAGGAAGGGTATGAGTATGCTTTCAGCCGTAGATTACAAAGTGACCCACTTGAAAATAGATTTTCTCAATATCGACAGATGAGTGTTGGTAGATTTTTGGTGAGCATTCGTGAAGTATTGAG